CGGGATGCGGAAAACTTGATCGCTTTAAAAAGATTAGTCGCAAATTGAAGTTGACAAGCTACTATTAAATTTATGCCAACAGTAACATAGCAATTCAAATGCGCTATGAGACACCCCTTTTCTGATGACTTTTAAATACCTGTCACAGAGTAATAAAAAAATTAAAACTTAATTTACTAATCTATTAGTGAGCCGTGGTAGCAGTGGTAACAGGGGTCATACGCTCGATTTAATATTTCGTAGTATGCAACCAGCCTAGATTCCAATACCACTGACACCAGAGAAATTAAAAATTCGTTAATTGTGAAAAGCCGGGAGGTATTATTCAACCAAGCTAAGACTTCGAAAGAGCGAATCTTAGCTAGATAATTTTATAACATCATTATTCTAATTAATTTCTGCAAAGTAACATCTGATTCTATTAATTACCAGGAAAATTGTTAATAGTAATTTTAAGTGCTAATTTATCATTACATATACTCCGTGTTGAAGGAAATTATCGTGTTTAAACTACTTAGAGGATTGTATGATGTATTTAGATTGTATGTCCACCAGCACACATGGCGACAGCGCGGTGGATCATTGGCTCATCAGTTTATTTGTCCTTTTTATTTGGTTCTACGGCGAAAATCTTCACTGTGGATAACTATTGTGTTCAAGGCCGTTACATTAAAGTAAAGTAAAGTTACAGCTTATATACGTCCCACTGCTGGGCACAGGCCTCATTTCTGAGAGGGTTTTAGGGCAAGGAAATGTCCGCCGCGCTGCCTCGATGCGTGTTGGCTTCACATGTCTTCGAAATATTTTTTTTTCTTATTCCTCAGACATGCAGGTTTCCTAACGATGTTTTCCATCACCGCCGAGCACGTGGTAAATCAGCACTTAAAATTGCAATTAACAATTTCTTTGGTGCCGGCGGGGATTAAACCCGGGTTACTCGCGTTCTGTTATATTTACAGCGAGCGTTAACCATTTGAGCTACCACGGCCGTTACATTCATCATCATCATCATCATTACAGCCCTTTACAAGTCCACTGCTGAACATAGGCCTCCCCCAAGGTATGCCACAAAGCACGGTCCTGAGCCACCTGCATCCATCGACTTCCTGCATGTCTTACCAGGTAGTCACTCCATCTAGTGGGGGGTCGCCCTACACTTCGTTTACCGGTACGAGGCTGCCACTCGAGAACCTTTTTTCCCCAACGGTTGTCGGTTCTTCGAGCTATATGGCCAGCCCATTGCCACTTTAGCTTACTAATCCGTTGGGCTATGTCAGTCACTCTGGTTCTACTGCGGATATCCTCATTTCTAAGTTTATCACGCAGAGAAACTCCGAGCATAGCCCTCTCCATAGCTCGCTGAGCGTCTTTGAGCGTCCTCATACGGCCAGCCACCAGCAGTGAAGGACCACGTCTCAGTTCCATATGTCATCACTGGCAACACGCACTGGTTATACAACTTACATTAACCGTTACATTACTTTTAACTACATAAGATTTGCAAACATTTAATGTTTTATCTATATATTCCATTATATAGAAATTAACAATTAGGGTCCGATGCCTCCGTTGATATTTATAGGCATATTTCATGGTGCTTACAGAATTCAACGAGAACGAGGGAGGTCGGTCATCAATCACTGGCATGAATTGTAGGAGCTTTATAAGTCTCGTATTTTACTGCGCAGATCAGTGAGATATTGTCTTGTCAATCAATGGTCTGTAAGAATATTTTATTATTACAATTAGAATTATACCAAAATTATGAATATATTTAATACGTGTTTTATATACGTCTTATACTTAATGGTTTTAATATTATAAAATATAAAAACTATTAAGTATAAAATGAATGTAAAATGACAAAAAAACTTTTTTTTAACGTTATTCGTATTTTCGTATATTAAAATAAAGTAGGTGCTTTGATTTTCGCAATTTTTATTTGTGTATAATATTTGTTATTTATAATAGAAACTACATCATATTAATGTACGACTGTTGCACAAATTATCAAGTTCTCGACTTTGAAGTTAGTATCGGTTTATTTAAAAAAAAATACTGTTGGCTCGACTATTCCACATAGAGCTTCAAAAAATATATCATTATTTTGCTACAAATCAAAATTCATAATTATTCATTATTATTGCCCCCCCCTTTTTATCATGGAATAATGTCTATTTCGTAATTTTAGATAAACTACTTTTACGGATCTCACACGTTTAGTTTAACTTATGTCGTTCGCCTAAGCAATCTATTTTTATATTTATTTTACGTTACAATGTTACATTGCAAAATGAGACTATACTAAATAACTATATACAAGTCAATCGGGTCAGTGGTATTTCGCTTATCCTACAAATATATATATATATATATTAATATATGGGGGAGTGTCACAACAAACAGGTCAATGAGATTGAGGTCGTATGCTCTATATTGTGTATGGCAAATGCCAGAAATGTCTTATGGCTTCCTGTATAATCAATGCAAATTTATATAAGATGTAAAATCCCAACCGAAAACGTGGATCTACATCAAGGATGCGGAGCATTTGGGAATGCGATCGCGAAGCCGTCTACCAAGCGTGGTGGTGATTAGAGTAAATCACCTAATCCCAAAATTACTGAAAAGCGAGAGGCTCAATTATTGCCGATCCTAGAATTATATTCTGAAACATTTTAAGATTAAATTTCGGTATAGTTTAGGTTAGATTTAAATGTACCTATATTGATTACTGCAGCTGAATTTTGTCGTAGGAAATATAGGGTAGTAATTTTAATACCTGAAAATATTTCACTACTATTAGTATATCCGTATTATTTATACGTGGTAGAAAAGCGGTATCTATATTAATTGTAGTATGAACGAGTTGGCATGACCGGGGTAGAACCACACTTACAGAATACCAGCTTAAAATAACATCTGCAGGCTGCTGCGCTGAGTATGATGAGTGTAGAGAACCGAATACTTTTTTTACTGGAAACGAGGCATTCCATCTTAGACCTTAGGACCTGACATCGCATCTGTATTTTGTTTCTTAAACGAGGAAAAATGTAGATATTTATGAGACACATCATCCATGTACCGTCAGGTGAACTGTGTGCTTGTTTATCATCCTTATTCTATAAAAAAGTATGTATTTAATATTTAGTAAAAATTGTTTATAAGGTAACTTTTTGTTACTCTTGTTACGTGTAATTATTATACTCGTACGATTAGAACTACAAAGTAATTAGTGTACTTTATTATTATTTTAATTTAATCATTTCATCTAAAAATTCCAAAAAAAACCAGTTCAGTCACGATGACCTTTGAGGTGTATCCTAAAAATTCACAAGGCTTTTACTTAAAATTGGGCCGTCGTTATCGTATTTTTGTTCCATTGAATTATACGAGCGCTGGGTTTGGTTTGTTATGGTAAACATTTTCTGTTACTTCATTGTCCGCAGCTGAGTTAACCCGCTCTTCTCTTTTAATATTAAATTATAAACTCAGTTAACTATATTCTTTCATACATTTTTGTACCAAAAAATCTGTCAAATTTCGTTATTTTTAATGATTAATTTTAATTTTATTGTTTCAGAGTAATTCAATGTTGAGTAATAATCCGAGAAAAATATCTGCAATAAGAACATGATTCGGGTACGTAACCTATAAGTTTCAATTTTAAAACTTTGACTATTAATAAAATAAACATTGCTTAATACGATGCAAACTATATGCGGGTTAGTGGAAACATTTATTTGTAGTCTTTATCAATCTAAATATCAGCTAGTGCATCTTGCTAACTATCCTCCATTTGAAACCGGTAATTCAATTATTGGAGACTCTGAAAGGGAAGTAATATGAACAGTGCGAGCTTTTTGCAGTAGTTATCAGTTTTTTGCTGACCATTGATTTGTCCAACTTGATGAGAATTCTGTAAATCTTACTGATGTTTATAAGACAGTCTATTGTTCAAATGATGACCAAATTGTGTATGTGTACGTACGTTTTATCTTATATTTTACATAAGTTAAATAAACTAATACAGCCCCAGCGTTGTAACGTTACCAGAAAACGTGACTTCTTTTAAATACTGTACTAAATACCGATATTCGGGCTAAAATCTACTGATAGTTGCACACCGTACCGTACGTAGAATATAAAACTTTGATACCTTCTAGCTTATACATAAATGAAGTAGCAATATTTGTGCATTCCAACCTGTTATTGTTTACCTGGAGAGAAAAAAGAAAAACTCAACGTTTAAAACGTAAAATTGTTAGTGTACCAGGTAAAACAGCACTTTTACGACATAGTATATTATGGATGGCTATTATTATCCACAATCATTTGCCTAACAATATTAAAGAAAATAAAAAACTAAAACTTAAAAAAAATACTAGAAGCTCTATTAGTTGAAAAAGTTTACAACTCAATGCGAAAAATTTTGTAATGAAAAATTTTGAATTAATTTTGATTTTTTGTCTTATTTACAATACTATTTATTTTGATCTACTTTCTTTTGTCATTTACTACAATTTTACAATTTTTATTTGATGATTGACCTAGAAATTGTTAATAGTTTGACATTGCAATTAATCGAACAATTTATTACCGTTTAAATATTTGTATGCTAATTAATGGTAGATCAAATAGGACACAATAAGCAATTATAAACATCTTTTAATGTATTACTTGTGATCAACAAATAAACGTATTATTATTATTAAGTTTTTCTCCACTACGTCGACAAAGAAGTTTCATTTCAAAATTCTCTTATTACATACTTAGATCTTGGCTGATTAATTCGTCACATCTTTAATAGTAATAAAATTGTTGTTGCGCAGTGGCGTATACGGACAGAGGGTGTATCAGGATGAGCGGCAGGAGCGTGGGCTGGTGCGCGTGCGCGAGTGCGTCACGGGAAGCGTGATGCGCACGGGCGCGCGCGTGGCCTGCGGCGCGACGCTCGCGTCCGCGCCCGCTCCCGCTCTCGCGCTCGCTCTGTGCGCGTGATGCGCGCGGACCGCGCCGCGCTGTACGCGTGGCTCGTCTGCTGCGCCGCCGCGTTACCCTCGCACAAGTACAGCACACGCGTCGTGCGTACCAAGTACGGACCGCTGCGTGGCATTGTTGTCCATTCGCACCCGCAAGTCGAAGCGTATCTCGGCGTACCGTACGCTACACCACCACTGGGAAGCCTTAGGTGCGTAAAACGATGTGCTTAAAGTAAAAAAGAAAAAAAATCAAGTTAAAATTATTTTATGTAATTTAAATTATGTTAAGGTCCAGGAAAATGAAATTTAAATATATTTTACCATTTCTACCCTTTTTAAAACGAAATGGAAAAAGCGGTTTCTATTTTTGAACTTATAATAGTTTTGCTAGTGGGACTATATTTTATCCTTTCTTCAGTAATTAAAGTGTGCATTATATTAAACTGTTTTAAAGTCATCATCATCTCCTTCATAAGCTCGTAATTGTCCACTGGAGGACATTGACTTCTTCCGTATAGAGAAGATTTGCTTAGATCATCACGCTTATCAGATGGATTGTTTTGGCGCTACTTGTTGCCGGTCTGGGTATTTTACGTCTGGCGAAAACGAAATGGTTACTGCCATCTATTGGAGGCCAGGTGACTTTTCCTATAATCGCCACTTATACCACCCATAGGATAAAAAGGGATTGATGGATACTCTTGCGGAATAACATTTTCTGTCCTGTACGAATACCAATGGATGTGTGTTATTATTAAATTCTTCTCACCTTGTCAGTGTAGCGGTGTCAACCCTCATCACACCCTCATTCCATCCATCCATCTATAACATCCTATAAAAGTCTACTGTTGAAAGTTTTACTCATAGTTTACCCCATAGGGGAAATATTTTCCATAGTAATTTGTCACGCGCTGGTTACCTCTATCCTACATTCTATTATTTAGTTTAAAATAACTTTAAAAATGTGAACTTAATTGAAAGTATTGTTGTAAGTTCAATGAAATTACCTTTTATAACAGTAAAATAAATTATATTTGAAATGTAGAAGCTGCGTTATTTTGTTAGGAAAGTTCTTACAATAAATAAAGTTTAGTAAAGTTGTGCGGTTAACCTCAACATAGACGACCGCTTTCATATTATTTAACTAGAGAGCTTTTCATTAAAACTCATAGTTTAAAGGAACGGATGAAGCTTTTAATGGCAAAGATAAGAAAATTATTGCGATAATTATTTAACATGTACATTTTAAAAGAGGAGGACAAAGCTTTAACTAATGATATGTGTAAAGTTACAGCCTATATATATATATATGTGGCCGGCATACATATGGCCGGCTCATTGCCACTTACTAATCCGTTGGGTTATGTCGGCCACTCTGGTCGTACTGCGGATATCCTCATTTGTAAGTTTATCACCCAAAGAAACCCCGAGCATAGCCCTCTCCATAGCTCACTGAGCGACCTTGATTGTCTTCATACGTCCACCAGTGAAGGACCACGTCTCAGATCCGTAAGTGATCACTGGCAACACGCACTGATTGTACAATCTAGTTTTCAGGTTTTAAGATATACCTAACCGGAAGATGTGTCGTAATTTCCCGAACGCTGCCCCGACGAGTTGAATATGGACAAATGTTAGAGAAAAGTTAACTAAATAAAATCTCAAACATTTTGTACATTTTACCTTTTAAATTCAAAATATGTCGTAATGCATTATTTTAACTGATTTTTTGTGTGCGTCGCGCGTACTCATTCGTAAGGATCGATTGGTAGATAAAACCGTTGTTGTCCATAAATCACATACAATTTGGGATAATTTCAAATAAAAGTAGAAGCCTTATTTACTGGTACTTTCAATAAATGTAATAACGGTATAGGTATCATTATTTATATATGTCTTTTCTTTGAAAAGAAATATATAAATAAATTACAATTTCTTGCATCATTTTATTTAAATAATTATTGTACGGATATTTCTAAGATATTAAGCGTGTAGTTGCGGTGTAAATATATTCACTACCCTATTTATTTTATGCGTACTATATATATCATTTCAATTCATCACGTGGGTGTCGTAAGAGGCGACAGAGGAAAATTAAAACAGGGTAGCAGCATCTTCTTGATGAAAACTCAAAGTAATTTAAAAAACTGCAGTTGACGCTTGCCAAGCGTGTTTACTAGGGTAAAATCCCCCTACTCTTCAGAGTCTAAGTTTAGCAGTGGTTAAAGTTACATTCGTCTAACAGATACATGCCGCCAGTGACGCCATCACAGTGGCGCACGACGCGACTAGCGGACACCATGGGGCCAGCTTGCCCGCAAGTTCCACCTGCAGCTTCACCTCACGACGATGCATTGCTAATACACCCTCGCGCAAGGATCCGACAACTTGAACATTTATTGCCAATGTTAGTTAATCAGAGCGAAGACTGCCTCTACGTCAACCTCTATGTACCTACTAATGGTAAGCTGGAATAAAAATAAACAGTTGCATGCCGTATCTCATGGCTAAATAGGTCTTTAAACAACTTATTTTATTGTAAAAACCTATCACTTACCCTATTTATGGCAATTAAATACATTTGAATTTTGAATTTTGAATAAAATACTTCAAAAGTTTGTCGCAATTAATAGATAATCGATTTTTTGACAATATATTATTTATTTACATACGGCTTAAAATTCACACAACATGTAATAATACAGCCACTTTTATTTTATATCTTAAAAAGTCGTCAATCAACTATTACGAGATATACTTTAATCCCCGCCACAACACCATCTCATTTTAATATTATCCACAGCACCTATCCTAAAAAAAAAAAAAATTTTGTGCTTTCTTCTTAAACATATAAATTACTTGAATCGATATTATTTATAATTTGATACTCGTGTCGCGTACAGTATTAATCATTGAGTTATAAGTACTACATATACATCGATGGTGTCAATATTATGTTACGATATCGTATTTTTATTTTTATAATTACGATTTACTATGTTCTGTTTCATTATCACCACTTTATTGCACAAATGTTATACGATATTAGCTAACAATTATAAAATAAGATTCAAAACAAGTTTTCAATTATATCTCTGTTCACTTACAATAAGCCTCTATTATAAGTTATAACGCACACTATAGTAAAGCAATTTTTTTTGTATTTTTCATACAAAATGCACACAAATCGCTGTATTATACGCATTTTTTCATTTTACACATTGACCAATACATGTTTATTGATTATTGAATTTCGTACAATCTGTAGCTCGTTTACCGTCATAAATTATTTCCTTTTTCTTTGTAACACCACTAATATACATTTCCTTTTGTAGTGGGCTCAAAAACATTTTTTCTAGTATCATAAAATATACCTATTATAAAAATACCTTTCTAAAATCTTTATTTTCGTTCATCTTCAAAAACTATTTAACTGCAATTGACCGCATTTGAAAAACTGAGTCGTTGTACATTTCAGTTTTAAAAAAGTGTTATGATCGAAAGAGAAAAATTTGTTTGCAGCATGATTTTATTTCCAAAAACAAAGGTGCATTGCAACGCTTTTGCTTTCGTTTTTCATTTGGTTACGTTACTATCACTCTCGCATCACACTCACTGCACTGTATTTGTTTTATTCGTGTTGTAGTAGTCATCGTAATAAATCACTTTCGAGTTTATAAAATAATATTTTTTTACCACAGTGCGGAAAATAATTGTGTTAGCAGTTAATCTCTGCCTTTGCCATGGGCTCATAATTTATTAAAGTTAGTTGACCCTAAATTTACTGACTATAAAATAAACCGTTGATTGAAACGACGTCGCATTTCGTAATATGTTACAAATTATGACTTTAATAAACATTCTTATTTATATACAATACCATGCTTTAGTTACAATTAGGTAAATAATTATGAATTTTATTAATAAATAACTCTATCTGGGTAACTATTAAGGATTTGTTATTTCTTTTTTTAAGTAAGACGTTTAAAGTGCGACTAGAACGTAAGTCAGATCTTATTTCGGAAGGAAGTAGAATCTATAGTCCGTTTAAGCGCTTTCCGAATTTATAAAGACAGCGGTCTACTATAGTATTTTGTAAGTACATTAGATATATGTGTTATATGTATATTGTATTCAATTTTCTGATAGGTACTATATTAAAAATAATATTTAAATTTACTATTTTTATAGTTTGGTATTATTAATGATTATTATTTTATATAAATATTTTATTAATAAGTAAATAATTATTAAGAAATTAAAAATAATTGATAAATATAAACATAAACATAACTCAAGGAGATTCTAAAGTAACTGTATCCACGTTTTATCCTCTACCTGGTGATAAAAAGGGCTGGTTCTTTTCTCGCTTAAAAGGCTAAGTACAGGCATTCGGCGAGAAAACTCAGCCAGAATTCTTGGCACTATATGGCGAGGATAATATTATTAACAATATTTTATATCGTTAGAAAATAAAATAAAGAATAAATTAAAAAAAATATTAGTAATAAGTTTAAATTTAATCGCGTGTAAAATATAGTGTATTTCTTTATTAGAATTATATTCTTCTTTTTATAAAACTTTGCGGCAATTATTCTCGGTTGAAAAAATAATTAATTGTTGATAAAAGGATGCGACCAGGGCGAAGATATCAAGGCTCATTTGCGGCGGCGAGAACTTGAAATAACAACGGCTGTGAAGGGTGTTAAGGCCTCAATTCCGTAGTGCATTGCAGTGCATCATGCCCCCTGCAAGCAGTGCGGAAGTGAGGCTGAGACATTCTATAACTACTTATCTACAGAAGAGGAAATTTATTGTGAAATATGTTTAAAATACTAATCTAAGTTTTAAATAAGATTGCTCTTTCTTAACAATTGTTACATGTTTTAATTAAGTTAATACGTGAATATTGAAGGGTTAAATATGAAATTGCTGTCTTTTTTACCGAATATCATTGACGAAATAAATATTTATTTTGTCGAAATAATTTACTCCTTATTAAATACTCGTCCAGCGAAGAACCATGCACTCACAGGATACCAGTGCAAACAACAGCATGATGACATATTTTATTTCGTAATAAAAGTGATATCACCCTTTTTATTAAAAGTAAGAGATTACATTTTAGTTTATTGGTTTATTGGGCTTTATGCTTTATGGACTGTAAACTCGTGAGTTTCATTGAACGTAATTGTTTATTATAGGCATTATCTGTTATCGAAATTCTTTTACTTTCATGAAACTATAGTAAGTAATACCCGAATAGTAAGATAATTTTTGGGAAAATTATTATGCTTTCATCTCAACATTCTACCAGTGTATAATTCCTCCACGATTATTGTAAAGGATGCACGGTTATCACACATGATAATTAATTCAAGAATTATTGTAATTTATATGGTGATTCATGTTTGGAGTGCAGTCTTAGTCCAGACTTCTTCCTTTGACCTTCCTACAAGATCGAAAAAAGTCGATGGTTTCATTAATTTAACTTTCGCATTATTATATTGATTTCTATATTTAAAATAAAATTGCAATTTCATATTTATACTTCTATTACTTTATCTATTATTAAGCATCTATTAGTTCTCAGCTATTTTATTTACGAATAATGTAATATATAATATTACGTATTATGTAATATGTAGAGTAAAAATTATAAGACAATTTAATTAAAATGAAGCTTAATTCCTATTAACTTCTTTGTTATTATTTATTATTTTTAAAAACATTATAGAAATAAAATTTAGTATTAGGTGTTTAGCTGGGAGATAACTGTTTTTTATATTATTTTAGGTTTCCGTAATTTAAAAGGAAAAAAAATGTAACCATTATTGCCACACTGTTGTCCGTATGTCCGTCTTTCAAGAGCTTTTTTTGAGGAACGGGTATTTGAATCAAGTTGAAATTACTCTCAAATACGAAGGTAGAAAAATTTCAAGCTTCTATTTAATAGAGTCAAAAGACCATTTATGTATTTGTGTATCAGTACAACAACAACAGTATAAGTAAACGCAAAGATTTCGAAAAGAGGTTAATTTGCACCATCTCTTTAAAATATTTTATTTTTGATTACAAACTTATATTTACAGTTGGAGCTTCGAACATGATGTAGGCTTATTTACTCGTATGAGAGAATATTTTTGTCCAATGTAACGTTAAGTTTATCCTACATTTTCACTTATCTGTCGTTAGAGCAATGTTGGGTGCTTGCCTTATTATTATTATTAATTAGTACTGTTTTAGTGAAATTTCTGAATTTTAGTTAGTTAATACTTTTGAATTAAAAAATAAAGAATACATTAAATTAAAAAATGTCTAATCGGATACTGGTTCGAGAAATAGCAGATATCAGATATGCCTTATGCCAGGTTTAGACGATGCAGTGCTGGCTGCCAGTTTAATTGGAAGCCAGCGCTGGCTTGTTATTGGCCTCGTATAAACAGTTTTTCAAGACAAGCCAGCGCTGGTTGCCAGCACTGGCGGGAATAGAGCGCTTGCCTATTTTTCAAGCCAGTGACCTCCGCCCGCGTGCCCCGCAATCCCCGCGCCAGAATAAATAATATGTAATATAAAAATTTTACTAGTGATATTGTATATTGTATCATATTTGATGTATGTGCGTGATAAACATCATTTTTCAGTTAAAGTTTAAAAAATCATTAATTTAATACAACGATTTACAAGAACAATCTAGAAATGAAATGAATCAATTTAGCCTCATCTAAACGACGCGGGCCAGGCCAGCGTTCGCGTGTCTGAGGACTGGCGCCAGCGTTAGCTTCGTCTAAACCTTGCTTTACACCGAAATATTTCAGCACATTTTCTTGGTAGCTGGTTAAACCAATAATGCATACTTGTAATCTGTAAGATGTTACAGATAATAATGAAAAATGTAGCAACAAAATAACGAAGTTTTGTTGCTTTCTTGCATGTGTTTAGAACTTTTCTTCTCCTTTCGAAATAAGGACAACACTTTTTACGATAAATGAATTTATTAACAAAACAAAGTTGCAGTCCATTTGAATAATTCATTGATTTTGTCGTCTACGGCACTTAAGAAATAGCATCAATTAACCGCCAACGAAGTGGCAACAATAAATGAATAGTACGTAATTGTGCATTAATTTGACTGACATAATAAATGATATCAGTTTCTTATAAAAAGTGGTCATTTCATATCTAAGCAGTTCAAATGACTAAGTTAAAAAATTTAGCAAATTTCGTTTTGTTGCAATAATTAAAATTTACTTTTTATTTATAGTGTAATAAATTTATAGTACTTGTATTTCATAACAGGAGCTGAAGAAGGAAATGAAGGTGAAAGTCTACCTTGTCTAGTTTTTGTGCACGGAGAATCGTATGAATGGAGTTCAGGGAATGCCTACGATGGCACTACGCTCGCTGCACATGGAAATATCATCGTAGTTACAATCAACTTTAGACTAGGTGTTTTGGGTAACTATGAATAATATATCTATAAAAGTTAAAGTTAGTTAAAATGATAGTATTTACTTTATAATATAATATAAAAGTTTGTACGTACCAGTGTTGGGGTCCAACATTAAGAAAAATATACCTCTTTGTCTTTCATGAGGTGTCTATCACGTTACTCTACTGTTTGACTCTCTCGCTGGTCTAGTGTTCCAAAACGCGGTTGCTGATCATGAGATACCTAGATTTTATCCCACGTCAGACCAAAATAAGTAATTGGGTTTTCTGTGTGGAGTCTGCAATTTGGTGGTGTTTAACCCCCATGTCTAGCAGAGTGCGTAAAGTTGTTGGTCTTGCATCTGATTTCTCTCCGGTCGTGTCGGATATATATTGTGTATCTTAATAAAGAGTAAATATACTAAGTTCCAAGCTCACCTGCACGCGATGCACCTTGCTAACTGACGAATGATCATCTGGCCTATTTTCGATCCCAAAAACTAGCAACGAGGAGCTTTTATGCATGGATATCAATCCTGCGCCCTCAATCAAGTCCGAGACATGGTAAATATAGGCATATCTTAAAACATTTTGCGCTTTTCTGAAAAAGGCTAGAAGCAGCAGTGGATAAAAATGGTGTAAAAAGAAAAATAAAAATGGTAAAATAGTGATTGTAAACTCAAGAACACGTGTGTATTTTGCAGGTTTTTTAAAGACTGGTGCTAAAGGGTCAGCACAGGGTAATTTCGGTCTAATGGACTTAGTAGCAGGTTTACATTGGTTGCGAGAAAACTTGCCTGCGTTCGGTGGAAATCCTGAGCGGGTCACTCTTATGGGCCATGGTACCGGTGCAGCACTGGCTAATTTTCTCGCAGTATCACCAGTTGCTAGAGGTATGATGTCATCACTAAGTAGAAATTGCTTACTTATTATTCAAAAGCATTCTTAATATAGCACCAAATTTTGTGGTATTTCTTGGGGTGTATGTTTAAAAGTATCATATCATCTCTTTGTAAGTGGACTTGCAAAGCTTTGTAATCATAATGATGACTTAATTACGGCAGGTTCTTGTTTTGAATCAAGTATCCATCTATATACTATAGTTTTTTTCTTAAAATTTAAAATTAAATAAAAATAATAAGTTTGGCAATGGTTAAAGAATAAGCTATACATGGAGGTTTTGCTCAAAAATATTTCACTATCGCGTCCCACAGTCACAGCCATTTATTTCTTTTAATACTGGTAAGACGATGATTGATTAATATTAAAAATCTCATAGTTACAATTCCAGGATAGTTCAATTCTTTGCTCGCTGCTTGTCAATCTTGAAGATTTTACTTTAAAATTCAATAGTTTAATTACAAAATCAAGTTTAATGTCACTTTAATCGGGGAAAGCATGATTGTAGCATTGACTTATATATTACTAGCGTAAGGACCGGGCTGACCGAACAACTATAACGGACCTATACGCTGGCCCTAAAATTACAGTTTAGGGCCAACGCGAATCGGTCGACAGTAGTGCGCGCGCAGGACAGATTTGTCTGTCATAAATGTCTAGTTGCGTGGTAAAATAATGCTAAAATTACGATACAAAGATTTGAAAATAAAACATGGGATGTCGTATCATCGGTAAATAACCGTATATTAATTTTGTTACTATTAAATTATTAATTTTATTTTACAGTTAGTTTAGATACGTTACCAAGATTATGCCAGGGTTGGATTCAGATCCTCAAAAATATTGTACATGGAAATTAAAATTATACTATTTTAAAAAACCATATCACGTTTGACGTGTCATAAAACGAAAAGAGTAAAAAAAAAACCATATCTGGTCAATTGAATCTGAAAATCTGATACATAAAATATTTTAAAATTCTGTTTTCAAACCAATTGCTTCTGGAGCATAGTTTTTATCGTGGTAGCCCCTCATTATAGTTGTATCAAGGATGCAACATAAATGCATCGATCGAGCATCGATTGACCAGAAAGGGAGTTAATTCTAATTTTATTAAAAAGACGCGGTACTCATGTACAATACAAAAATTCTCGATATCGTAGAGTTAATATTAAAATGTAAAAGGACTTAGTCGACCTTTAGGTAAAATTGTGGTATTTTCGCTTTGTGTTATTACGATACTATATAGTAAAAACTATGAAATAATTGTACAATTAGGATAATTATACTACGAAATCCGACCCTGGTTACGTCGTGTTTTGATATGACGTTTGTATTACGACAGATGCGCTACTTTTTCTTGTATGAAAAAGTTTTAAGTAAAATATATAGAACCCTATCCTATCCTGGCCTATCTTTCGATTGTAGTATAATCATTGGATTGTAGTAAAATGTTGCTTCTTTAAAATTATAAAAATACAAAAAATGGTCTAGTTGATAATATTGTACATAACACATTATTATTATTAGTTTAAATAATAAACACAAAATAATTCCTAGTGTTAAAATCCAACAATGAGAGGACCATGTCCAGCGGTGAACTTCACGGAGCGATGAAGAGAAAAGAGAAGAAGAATTTCACAATGTGTCTTAGTGAAAATAATGGAATTAACTTGAGTTTCCTGTTTCAGAACTACTAAAGCGAGTCATCTTGTTAAGCGGGTCGGGCTTGAGCTCTTGGGCGTTGCAGAGGGAGCCCCTTACGATAAAAAGAAAGGTTAATAGCGTGCATTTTTAAAACGTATTTAGTGTAAGCTTTTGAGTGTTAGTTCGAGCCGTGTAAATAAATTAAAGTTTTTCAGTCCTTACTTTTTTAGATTAAGCTGTTTCTCAAACAGATTTTCAGGATTTTTCCCTATTAAAACAAAAGTTATTCCTAAGGTTCGTTGTGTTTGATAAAGAGTGATTATGTTATATATAGGTAGCAGAGCAGACGGGATGTCACGGAGATTTGTTGGAAGATGACTTGGCGCCTTGCCTTCGGAAACTGCCTCTTGCTCAACTGTTAGCAGTGCGACTCGACCCACCTCGCTTTTTGGCTGGTTTTGCACCTTTTGTTGATGGAACTGTTATTGTAAATCCATCTTCAGTAAGTCCGTCTTGATTTTCACTAATAATAACATATAAGCTTTTAATAGGTTATTGTGTTATCTTCTACTAGATAGTTTAACTTAATATTTTTCGCAAATAGAATTAACGTATTTTTAAGTGTTAATTTTGTATATTATAAGCTTAAATTTAAATCTAATACCGTTTATGACTGAACAAATACAAAATTTAAATAAGTTTGAAGTTAATTATTGGAAGACAATGTTTTGATATTAATTTTTTAATTTTTAATATAAGATTGAAAACTGTTTCGAATTTGGGGAATTAAAATGATGAAATCAGCAAAATTTATGTAGGCTCCTCCGCCAACGGATAGTTCAAGGCTTGGTGCAGGGGCCGCGGCTGTAGCAACTGCTGCCGGCCACGAGCTGGCCGATTTCCCCCATAGGGAGCTTTTATTTGGACTGACGACTACAGGCAAGTTACTATTTTCTGGGATAATATTCAGACATTATGCCATCATACTTTTGACATTTAAAAACTGCAGTAACTAAATAAATATTTGTCTCATAATTATCACTTTAAAGCTGTTTCTAAATTATAGTTATTACGTTTTGATTTCTTATATTTACGCAGATACTAAACATTTAAATAAAACCAGTTTTCATAGATTTAAAAGCGTATATTAACTTGTTCTATATTCCAGACGTTTCGAGCACTTTACAGCACCCATGGTCACGAGGGTAACTGAGGTGTTCGACGTCCCAATGTCAAGTTTAACTACGGCTATCTCCAGATTAAAATAGTATCCCGAAGTCTTGCAGTTGTATGTAGGGATTGAATTTCCCTTGCTTGCAGAAGTTTGGAACATTGGACAACATGCCCGTAGAATTTGTAGTATTACTCAGATACTGCCTTACACCAGGCCACCTATTGCGGAAGGAGGAGTTCTAAAACCAAGCAGATGGCGTAGCGATGGGCTCACTTCTATCTCCCACTATTTCCAACATATGAAAAATTTTAAGGAGAATGCCTTACTTACTTCTCCCCTAAATTATTCATTCATAAAGCATACAGTTGTATGCTTGGGTTTGGGATTTAATTTTATTAATTATAGGATCCCAAGAAGGAGGTAGCACCCAGCCATCTTTTCTATTGAAATTAGGATGTTTTTTGATTTCAATAGCCTCGCGAATCGCGAATGATCCTTGGTAGGAATCAGTATTTTTAGCAAGGATTTGTGGTCTATCAAATTTGGTATAGTGTAGGCGATCCCGTACGTGTTCATGACTGCAGAATTTCAGGAGCTTCTATTATTCACATCAGCTAGGGCCTAGCAGCATCAGCAGGGTCATTAACGCGGTTTTATTGATCTTTTAGTTTGTCCTATATGAGGGACCTAACACTTAAATGATGGTAAAAACTGACTAATCTTCCGCGGTTTGAAGTATGTTTTAATGGAAGTATGCTTCAATATGTAGCCGATACTGTCAGTGACACCTCTGACATAGACTAGACTAGACAGTCGATCGTGTGCCTGCTATACTGCGAAGTATAACGGACACACGCTCGACTGTCGCTAGTTTCACTCTTTTACTGCAACCTAGGCGCGGGACCCGAAGCTTGTTATCACGCAAAACTTACTTGACATGTTGAAACTCGGCGCCCAGATGTTTACTGTCACAGATCCCTCGTGCTTACTGAAACAAAGACTTCGGTAGCTATCTATGAAAGATGGTCGTAAGAACCACCGTTTAAATATCTATCTGTACTAATAATAATACAAAACAAAAAACACCCATATTTTTTCTACACAAATTGTGGCTTCAAGGTATTATCAGGATTCCGAATTACTAACACATCTGGAAAAGCTCAGGGATTGTTTGCCTCTATTTCAATTGTGAACTGAATTTTAGAATTTATGGAGTTAATATGGTCTAAAAATTCAGTTACTTTATCTGAAGGAAGTGTCGTCTACATACCGCTTGAAGAACTTGAATTTACGGGAGAAGTAAGTAAGGCATTCTCCTCAAAATCTTTCATAAATATGTCGGCGACAGTGGGGTATATAATTGAGCCCCTCGCCACCCCATCTACTTGCTTGTGGAACTCCTCCTTCCACAATAGGTGGCCAGATGTAAGGCATTCTCTGAGTAATACTACATATTCTACGGGCATGTTGTTTTCTTACAATCTTCTGCAAGCAAGAGGAATTAAATCCCTACCCAAGCATACAATTGCAAGATTTCAGGATACTATAAGTTCATACTGTGTAGTTCAGAAAAAAAATTAATAATTTTTATCTGGAGATAGCCGTAGTTAACTATGACATTGTGGCGTCGATCACCTCAGTTCCCCCCGTTAGCATCGGTGTTGTAAAGCGCTCGATACGTCGGAGATATAAAATAAGTCAATATACGCGATAAAATTCGTAAAAACTAGTTTTATTGCGTTTGCTTAAACATTCACTTTTACAAAAGATATTAAAATTTTAAAGCTCTACTACTTAAATATGCGACTTCGCTTTAATTTATCTCATTTAAATATGACTGTGAAGTATTTTACAAAATTTATGTAAATTACTCTAACTTACAGAATCTTACTTGGAATTCAACGCTCAAGACTTAGAGTTCGGTTTCAATGAAAGTCGACGGGACCGCATTCTACGTACATTTGTTCGTAACGCATACTATTATCACCTAAATGAAATTTATTCTACATTAAAAAATGAATATACGGATTGGGACAAACCTGTACAAAATCCTTTAAGTGTTCGAGACGCTACTCTTGAAGTAAGAAACTCTTTTTACGTACCTAATTATGTACTAATTATATAGTTAACTTTTACATATTTATATTTTATGTTAAAATTCCCTGCAAAAGCGCTAATAATAAAGACTTTCTCAAAGATACGCATTTCTATCAACTAAGTTGATCTTAATTTAAGACTCAAGTGGTTTTTGCAACTCATCCAACGGCTCCCTAACATAGAAAGAAGTTAATGACACTCGCGCGCGATGAATACAAAATACTAAGACTATACTGGAAATGACTGGCAAGCTCTTGTTTTTCAATGACTAAAGTCTTATTTACGGATATTCATACGAACCTTTAAGCATATTTTTATATAAACCAATATTATATACATTCAAACAGCAGGGTTTTTAGCACTTGTTTAACCATATTTTTGAATTTAAAGTAGATTAAGTAGAAATCAATATAAATTATATATTATATACATTTATTCAAGATTTTTCGAGCAGAAAGTAATGGAAATTAACATATACGCTAACATACTAAATTAACGTTTCACTCAGAATGCACTACTTAGATTTCTTTTAAATATAATATAAACAAATAAACAACCAGAGTAAAGGTATTTTAACAAATACCAGTTTAATTTAAATTGTGGTTGTAAAAATTAATATTAAAAAAAAGAACATTAAAAATCCTATAAACATTACTAATATTCCCCTTAACCACTCGTGGTAAGCTTAAATTGCTTGTGTTACGAGTGGTTCACGCCAGTAGTGGAATGGTGGATTCGCACCCACGACCTTTTTGAGTTCGCGGTCCGCGCCCTGCCATTAGGCTACTGTCGCTTTTTGCTTTTAAGGTTTTATATGAATAATTCTCATATAACTGTATTTTTTAGATTCTTAGTGACGGCCGGACCGCTGCTCCTTTAATACGGCTCGGATATTTACATGCTCTTCGAGGTGGTAAAACTTATTTTACCCATTTTCACCATTTGTCCCAAGATAAGGACTATCCACAGGTAAATATTTCTTGTCAAAAGAAATGAAATTTAAATTTGTATACAATTCTAATAATATGTAAAATTTTATAGCGTCCGGGATCGGTGCATGGCGAGGAATTACCATATTACTTGGGCGTACCGATGGCTCAGTCTCATCATCAACAGAATTTTTCACAGCAAGAACAACGCGTCTCAAGGATTTGCATATATTATATCTCCAATTTTGTAAGGCACGGGTAAGATATCACTTTCTGAATAATTAGGAAATTTTATATCAATTTATTTTTTCACTTCATTAGTTGTGAAAAAAATGTTTTATAAAGGAGACGGGCGAAAGTTCATAGAAAGCTGAGCCTGATGTTACAGTAACGATTACTGCATTATTTTATTTATATACTAAATTTTTAAAAATTTAAAAAAGAAAAACTAAAATATGTACGACTGCTTCATGATAGACAAAAAAATAGGGCGTTATTCGTTAGTATAAAAACAATGTTATCGCTTGTTATGCTTATAATGTTATTCTTACACCAAGCTCTCACATTGCACTTTACAAAAATAATTATTGGACTTAATGTAAACTAGACTTACCATAATTTTGTGTTTTGTAGGACATTCACACATAGATGATTCAGACGCCAAAATCCAACTAAATTCTAGAGGTTTGAAATGATTATAAATAAGCAGAGTATGAATTAAAAACACTTTCTCTTTTAATGATTTATTAATCGTTCACTTCATCGTAAAGAAATAAAATATCGTTTAAAAACGGTGCAGGCGGCATAAAATTCTCTAGATCCCTTGATCAGCTTAGGTACCATATTATTATTGACATTACATGACAACAACAACCTACAGTTCTTTTTCCTACCTAGCAATTACAATAATACTGTTTGATGGCCTCTCTAGCATTAAGAGAACTGTCAACTAAAATATATTTGTAAAATATGTTTTTGAGCTTACATGTCCAGATTTTATTCGACCTCTTAATATCCAGCTAGAATAATTGGTTATTGACAGTTCTCTTAGTAGGTTGCTGTCCGTTTCTCGACACACCTCTATTTTATATCTCCCATCTTATCGTATGTGTTCTCCATAATATGACCTAGCCTACTTAGTTTGATAAATACCTAAAGATATTTTTATTAAATCACTATTTTACTGGGGAAAATCATTTAAGTTATCATTTTACATATGTAGTCTTGTTAAATCAGAAATGAAACCGTCGAAATCTTTTACGTAGCTAGAGCGGTTAAATATCAGAATATTATTACAGCACACGAAAACAACAGAAAATATTCACTTCCACCGCAAGCTCAGATCCAAACGAACGAAGCAAATGATTTGATTGACATTTGAGTTTTTGAACTAACGTTGACATGAGTTCCGCTTTGTGGCCTGTATAAAACATTGATAACCGATTGTGAAATCGATTTAATAATCTATTCAGACAATTTATTTTGAAGATTTTTTTGAAACGTTGAAGTCTCACGAGGAAACCATTATTTAAATAATAGTTTTTTTAAACTTATCTAAAGAAGAAAACACTGAATCACTTTTTATTGGCTTTTTTCTCTTTTTGTATTAATATCGATTAACTAACCTATTACATCTGGCAGCATTGTTTAGCCAGAAGCCAGTATTATTTTTATTAAATACTTAACTTCATGTGCCATGATAAAACTGCTTAATATTTCATTATTAACTACAAAAAAAATTGTAAAAAATATTGATAAATATTTCACTTGTGTAACGTTAGGCCCAAATTCACCCGGTTCCTTTCATCCATTATTCATTATATACTATTAAAGCCCACCACTGAACAAAGGCCTCCCCCATAGGTTGCCTTCTAGTTGGAATTTTGCCATAATTTCCACGCTTGGCGGGCGGGTAAGCAACCACAGTTTTTTATTATCTTCAGTTATGTCCAGGAAGATGTTTCTGTCTACTTCTCGTTAAAGTTTCCCTCTGTCACCTTGTAGGACACCCACAGGAAGATATGGAGTAGTAGCTATTCTTACTCTGCTGCATCATGGTAAAATAAAATTTTGCTGAAGAATTGATAATGTCATTTTACACTTTTGCACGGCGCAAGAGATATTACAGAGCTAATAGTGTATGCGCTCTAACAGTGACCCTCACTTCATCAAATTGGAAGTTAAACTAAGATGCAGTGTAAGACATGGCAAGGCTAATAATAACTGTAAATTCTAAAACCATTAAAATACACATTTTTGCACAAATGTTGATACTGCCTGTTGATTCGAACCCAATAGGCACGATTTAATAAGTAGGTACACATCCTAACCATTATAGATACTGTGTAGACACGATGGTTTTATATCATCATCATAATCTGTTTCTGTACTCAGATAGCCCTACTGGACAAACACTTAGACACCTCTATTTAACGACAATGGATCTGGCATCACATAAAGGATTGTAGGACCAACCAAACTTTAACGGGATCAAATGCTTTTTCGTAGTCCCCACATTCAAGACGAATTCGCAGATTGTACTTTTTGGTCCTTTCTACAATTTGAAAAAGATTATGTTCATACGTAGTGTGTGGTATGAAATGGTACTTATTTACCATATTTGTTTGGTATAGAATTCTATTACAAATATATAACGCTAAGATTTCAGTTGATAACATTAATAAATATACAAAGGTAATGTTTTTAATACTACAGTAATCCCAACGATCCTTCGGCGACACCACCACCTACTAACTTAATGGATGAAACTCCACGTCTTGGACCAGACCAAATGCTTTATTGGGACTCCTATGATACTATTAATCAACTCTATATGGAAATTAGTAAGTAGATAGTAAAATTATAGTAGGAATGTTTTGTTGATTGAAGTACCTATACATGTTTTTAAACATTTCTTTCTCTTTATTTGATAATAATCTTACTATATTTACATAGATATTTTATATTTATCCAATTATCTCACAATATATTTTTGTAACATAGGTAGTAAACCAGAAATGCGTAATCATTATCGAGGTCACAAAATGTCACTATGGCTATCACTTATACCGCAACTTCATCGCCCTGGCTCCGATTTGCCAGATGCTGCAATGCGACATCATCATTTTCAAGATGATAATGCTAATTACTATGAAGGTAAAATATTAGAAAAATAATAAAATATAAAATGTATATTTTTAATAAATACTATTAATATTTACACATTTCTATTTTATTGATACAGGCGCTGTAAGGCCACAATCAATGTCTAGGGCCCATGTTCCTCACGTTGTCAATATTGACGACGGTGCACGCGGAGAAGGTCGCAGTACATTTTCTCCTCGTTCTGCACTTCCGAAACCCTCACCAACGCCACCAGTGATATCTACTGAGTGCCCTCCTAATGCCACTGTTACGCCAATGCAACCGGACGATGCACTTCTTCGCCGTCTTGCTTCTTCTCATTATCAGTCTTATACAGCAGCTCTCACTGTTACCATTGCTGTGGGCTGTTTCCTCTTGTTACTAAACGTACTTATATTTGCTGGTATTTATCATCAACGAGGCTCACGACCCAGACGCTCAAAAGATGATTTGGGCGAAGCTGGAAGCTCATCGTCCTCAGAAAACTACGATGGGAAACTGGACTACGAAATACGTGCATATGATGGAAAGGGGTTCGGTTTTGAGTGCAAATCAGCTCACGGGTCTAGAAACTTAAGTTCCAAATATGATTTACGGACGTTATCGGATTGTGGAGAGCCGACGTTCGGTGAATATAGCTGTTACGATGAAAAACATCGTGCTGCTCGTAATTCTTTGCCAGACGTTAGTGTGGGAAGTGCGATAGAAGCGGGAAGTGTAGTTTGTATAGATACGCAAAAGCCGGATATACAAAAAATAGAAGGGCGACTACAAGACGTGATAGGACGAACCAGTACTTTTGAACCCCGTGTAGTAGATAGCTCAACACAAGTAAAGTTCGGTCCAGTTCTAGATTCAGAGGTAAATTCTGAAGCTAACGGCGGTTCGGAAACGGGAGCTGCTGGAGGTTCAAGCATTTTGAGGGTACCACCTGTAAATTCTACGCCTGTGCCACCGGGAATAATGAAAAAAAGAGTACAGATACAAGAAATATCCGTATGAGATTATCTGAATACCGCCGAGGTAGTAGTGAACAAAAGGACAAAGTTGTGATTTTCGGAAACTGAAACAATATTGTATATACTCATTACTTATTAGCCGCATTATGAAATCTTTGTAAAATTGTGTGTATATACTGTAAACAAATAAGTCAAAGTTCGATAAGTCATTTAAGATTATCTTGTCTTGCTATACGAACCGGATGTAAATATTATAGACATAAAATACACGTTTGCGTTTTTCATGTTCATATATCAAATATAGAATCAAAGGTATAGGAAGATATTAACAGCAGATAAAAATGAACCAGTGAACGAAATTATAAAATTATCTTAATTTTATATAATAAGATAAACTATGTTACATTCCAAATGTTATTTGATTCCTATTTTCGGTGATAGAAACTTCTAGGTGTTTGTAAACATACCATGAATGTGAATATTAAAATAAATTAATAATAATGAAAGACTCAATGGATCCTTTATTAAGTGTATATAATTTTGTCACGTGGAATATGTCTCAAGTTTATGCCATAAAATAACCCTTCAGTTTATTTTATAGCATGCACTTGTTACTTATAACATAGGAATATGTTGTGATTTTGAGTAAAGTTAATTTAGGTGGGATGTATTAAGTTGGAGTAGTTTTTATAAGTAAATATTTAAAACGTACTATAAAGAAATAGTATGAGGACGAGTACATTAAATCATAATTTTTCGCGTTAGTTTTTATGTTAGAAAATGGCGAAACATTTCATATACATGGTAAACAGGGTAACAAACCACAAGAACAAACAATTTGGCCTAAATATTGTTCTTACATCCTTATCTATAAAATTGCCGTTTGTATAGGAAAATATTTTTTAATGTATTAAACTTAATTAATTAACTGAAGTATTTGTTAAGTTCTATTGTCGATGTTATTTTGCCATTAAATGGAAGTTCGTATATGGATCTTGCTTAAAAATTTCGGAAACGAGAGTCAGTTAATTTATTAAAATGGTTTTACTGCCGCATCTAAGTAGACATCTTTCTTTGAAAAAGTTATTCTTATTCAAACAAAAAATATAATCGGTAGTAGCGACGTCTGGCGCGTGGGATGACTGAGGGTTTCAAGTTGAATTGTTGGGCAAATTTTGAAGGAGCGGTCTTGTAGAGAAATAATATAGTAAAGCAATTTACAAGCTTCAGTAAGGTGATAAAGAGGCTGCTTATTAGAATTTGCAGTCAGTTTATTTACACAGAATTTGTCTTGCCAAACTTTAAGAATTTATAAAAAATAATGCCAATGCAGGTCACCATACCCGTTGTATTTTAATTATTAATTGCTGTGGGTGTACATGAGCTACAGCATCTACTTACGATCAAATGACTGTGAGCTAACTTGTTAACTTGTTATACTTTTCGTCCAAGTCCTTACAAGTCATAAATTGATTTAAAATCCGCTATATTGTGTACAAATTCAACAAATTAAAAATTAATATAAGCCTAACGCAAGCTTGTTATTGTCCTTTATTTATCGAGCTATATCAACTGGTAAATATATATTATACATACCTACTTTTTGTGCTTGTTTAATTTGTAATTTTTATGCACTTGAAACAATTTGTTTATCTTTCACGATGTTGGAGATGAATCGGCTGTCTTTCAGTCTTAGGTCATGCTCAGGGCTCTTTGTTGAGATCCTTAGATCTTAATAATATACAGAATGGAAAAAATAAAAACGCACCGAGTGTTCATTTATTTTGGTACACTTGTTTCATTTGTACCATAATAAATTCATGTTCAAAAATAACGCGAAAGTTCAATTTTTACAAGACAGCAATTTCAAAGAAAGAATAAATTGCAGTAAAACAAATAACTATCACATTTTATTAAAAGTAATGGAAAAAAATTATAAATATATTATTCTAAATACAGAGCTGCAATTTTGAAGATAAGGACCTTATAAATTTTGAGGAGAAAATATGTGTCAAAAATTATGATAGACAGAATTTGATCTTATCAACAATCCTTTTGAAATCGAAACGTATAATTTGCTAAACAATGCTTGATGCGTACTCGTCCAAACTTTATCTTAACAGGAATTGATAAATTATTAAAAAAATATTAATAATTGACTATTAATTTTAAACATGCTTTTAAAGCCATATTGTGACAAAATGTGACTCGTTTTTAACAAAAAAAATAAAATAAAATTGAAGGGGATATAGTAAGTCAGCTCAAATTCTAATTTCGTCCCCACTTGCCCGCGCGTCGTATGCTATGTACCGACATGTTTGTAATCACTAATACTGTAAGTAGAAAGGTCGTTAGATACTTATTTCATTAGGTTTATCATATTTATGCCTGTTTCTTAACGCCAAGCCAGTCGCTTCTTATTTTTATTACGGTTGTTTCCCATTTTAAGTTTACGTCGTCCTGTTGCGTAATGTATATTCTGATTGTAAGCGACACAACCTCCCCCTTCAAAGGCCGAAGCGAAGTGACCGGGCGGCAGGAATCACGCTTCAAGAGGCCGATAGTTTAGGTAATTTCTTTTTACAGTGAAAATAATGGTATTTACGTTTCATGATCTTATTTAAAGTATTTTATGAATAACAGCGGTTTATTGTTTATTTTGGAGGTAACTTTGGATTTTTTCTATCGAGAAAATTTTAAGAAATCGTGTTTTCGTCTAACATAATCCTTAACATTAATCCTCAACTTTACCATATATTTATTTCAAAATTAATGCTGCAATATTTTCGGCATAACGAAGGATCTTGCTAAGCCATTTGAGATTATATTTCCCCTTAAACATAAAGTGTTACTTTAAACTTGGAATTGATGAAATAAGAAAAATACATTGTAACAAAATATTCTTATATAGAATACTCTTCGTATATATAATACACAGAAAAAAAATCTTACATTTAAATTATCAGTTGCTAATTTACTTACTTCCTAAAATATATTAAAAGGTAGTTTTGTTTTCAATGGTTTTATGTACTTATTACTAAATGTATTCACTTAACATTAGATCTTAAGCTTTTTAACAAAATTTTGTATCACACATCTATATTTTTGAAAAATATTTTATAATTTTTAATTTAAGTATAATATTCTAATTACGGCAAGATTTCTTTGTGTTTCTTTAGATCAGCCATTCACCACTTATCAGTTTCAATTTGCTGCATCATTATTAGTTACATAAATAAAGATTGAAAGCATCTTTCGCTTTCCTGTACTTTCCATGTTCCATTTGCTTTTCTTTATAACCATTGTTTTTAAGATCATAGCTTGTTTGATTGGATAATTGCTACTTCAGCTTATTTGCAAACGTAAGGGCTCAGAAAGCACTATTAATTGATAATTACATGAGTCATGAAACGTTAGATCATTTATGTACTAAAATAAAACGTGTAAGAAAGACATTTCCTCTTGTAATGTATTTTTTTCTGTTTTATAAAGGGTATGTGTAATTTTATTTCTACTTAATTCAAATCAGTATACATATTATTTATTGTAACTGAAGTGAACAAATACAATTAAACGACTTCTCAATTTCAAATGAATAGAGGATTATAAAATATTGTTATAATAAAATTAAACTGAAAGAAATATCAACATTTTGTTACAATTTGGTGTTTAAATGAAGTACATAAACATATGGTGTCAAATAAAATTTCGAAAACACTTTTGTTTCATTTGATTTTAAAATTTAATTTTAAATTTTAATTTTAAAATTTATATAATTAATTGTGTCATAATGTGTATCAAGTTTTATAATAAAGTTATTAAAATATTCGTGAACAGCCATTAAGGCCAATGAAAAAAAGTTTAAAGCAGTGGCCAATAAATACTGCCTTTTATGATATCAATGAATTCTTTAACCATAAATTTTGATTTTATTTTTATTGATTTTGTTTAACTAAGTAAATTACTATAGGTCCAGGATTTTGCGTGATACTTCTCAAATGAACAAAAAATAATTTTTCTATTTTTGTTATGTTTTCCTAAAAACATAAATATAAAGTGTTTATGAAAGAAAAAGAAAATTTATAAAAAATTTTATTTCTTAATTTGTTTCTTAACATATTTATTTTAAACAATTTTTACGCATGACACAAAAGGCAAAACATGTGGAAACAAATATTGACTCTGTATCCATCCGTCTGTACCCATGTTTTAGCGAAATAAATGATTTGATTTACAAAATACGAAATATTCAAGTAATGTTTTAAGACACAAACATATTTCGGTTATAAGTTAATATTTTATTAGTCCTTGAATAGCGATTCATTTGTTCAAATTCAAAATTCCTCAGGTTGAGTCCTTGGGGCCGTCGGAATGTTCACTTTCGCAAGGAGAAAGTTTGAAATTTGCATGGATATAAATCAAGACTATATGTTGTGTTAATAAACGTTCCTCAACTCAAGTGCACGCACTTGAGAACAATATTGAGGTTATGATCTTAATAATAAACATAGCACAGATAACGGCTCAGGTTTGCGCTATCAGCTGACGTAATATTTACGAATTCACGAATTTCACGAATGGGTCGGCTCGACTGGGTAAGGACCACGCTCTCACAGAATACCAGCCCCAAATAGCAGCTTAATGCTGCTATGTTTTGTATGGTGAGTGTAGAGAACCGGAGATCCTTTTTACTGGAAAAGGGGCATTCCATCTTAGTCCTCAAGGCTGACAACGCATCTGCATTTTGATTCGCAGACGAGGATAGATGTAGATGTCTATGGGCCACAGCACCCACTTACCATCAGGTGGACTGTGTGCTCGCTTTTTACACTTTTCCTATATAAAAAACGCACTTGAGAACAATATTGAGGTTATGATATTAATAATAAATATAGCACAGATAACGGCTCAGGTTTGCGCTATCAGCTGAATGACGTAATATGTAGTAAACGAAAATCGACTCTCAAATACACAAAATGTGCATGTACACGGACTTCGCGAAATCGTTTACAAAACTCTCCAAGATTCTCTTTATTTTCTACC